TAATCGAATCTGTGTGACAAGGACCAATGATGATGTTGTATTAAGTACTGGAGAACAGGCAGGCACTACCCCTGTGGGGGTCTTTCACAGCTATGCTAGCTACTCTTGAAGAATCACCTTCCTCTGTCCCACATTTCTCTGTGATCAATTCACGTCAGCTGGCCATGTTTTATTTAACACTTAATCGTGGCACTCCCCTCCCTGCATCCCCCTGCAGCTCATTTGTTCATGTACAGGGGAAAAAAATTAGCCTAAGAGCACGTGATTGCTCCTTTCCACTCTTCTCACCTACCCTCGCTCTTTTCTTTTACTTTCTTGCATCTTATTCGAGTGGCATTCAACACAAAGCAGGTCAACCTTTCTTTGACAGTTTCTATAATGAATTCCTCCTTTCATACAGCACTCTCCATCTGATGGGTGGAGGAGACTCAAGGTGCCATAATTGAAGCTCCAAACAGGTTTTAAGATGGTCCTGATCCTCTTTTGTGATCCCCTGCTTTCCACAAGTTCAGTGACTCATGAGTTCTTTTCTTCCACAAAAAAACCTCTTTCTCTCTTTCTTTGTGTAAAACTCTTTAATCTCATCTGCCCCTGGGTCAGTGTCGCAGCCACTCGCACTCCCTTTTAAATTATATACTGTATCTTGCTCAGACAGCAGAGCCGAGAAGAGCGTGGTTGTGTTTCCTCAGACCTGTGGAGAGGTGGCATATATAGGCCTTGATTGTGCTGAAGTGGCACAGAAAAAGCAGAGCTGACAGCTCTCTAAATGGACATGATGTTTCACTGTACTTGTGCCAAAGCTGCTCTGATGTCTGCTTTCTGCACATATAGCAACTCCTAAAAGCCCAGAGGAGTCTGTAAATCATTGATAGAAAGAATAATAAATACTCTGATTCCACAGTTCTGACAACAAACCATAAAATCCACAATATTTCTTGTTTTTTCTGAGTAATATCTATGACTTCACTGTAGTTCCTGTACAGAGAAGCATGAAGGCAAAAGGACACAAAAGGTAGGTCAGGAGCTTGAGGTTATAAATATCAGTTATAAATCAGCGGTGGAAGAATTCTGCAAAATGGACTTAAAGCATCAAAAGTAAAAGCCCTTATTATTATGAGTTATGTAACTTAAAATATTATGTATTACTGGAAAACAGTATTGTGTGTTTCCAATTTTTATAAAATGATGCATTTTTTCTGATTACAATGAGAGAAATCATAAGTGCAAGAAATAATGGAGTTTGATGATACAGTATACTCAGCGATGGGTATAGGTATTACTCTTGTTCTGTACTCCTACTCTTTACTCAAGTATATTTCTGAGCCAGTAATCTACTTTTTACTTCAGTACATTTGCCTTTTATACTTTCGTTACAAATAGTCTACTCAGAACAAGAGGCAGCTTCCAGTGACAATCTCTGGCCACACCTGTCCACTTTCTATACCAACATTTACATGTTTGCAGTGCTTCCTGAAAAAAACCCTCACCTCTCCTCTTCTAGCCTCCGAGCACTTTTAAGTAAGTTGCACATTCTGTAGGTGGACATGTTGTTAACTAGCTAATGTTAGCTATGTTAAATTTTCATGTGTAACTTTAGTCTTCGATGTTATGATGATGACAATAGCGTATCTTTTTTGGTCTGTTGGGCTTTTAAATTGATGTGCTTTAGAAAGTGGTGAATGTAATTAATGTATACAAAACTTTCACATCCAGACTGCAGAGGTTGGACAGCTTTACGTTACTGTTAAGTTTCTTTCAAAGCCTCTGTCTTAACTAATATCAGACTATTGCTTTGAGACTAAATAACTTCTACATTACCTTCATCTGTCCTCTGTAAAGTAGCTTTAAATTAAATTAAAATGTAAAAATGTACTAAAAATTGTACAAATGTGCGTATTTACATTCACTGAACTTTACCGTAGAGGAGAGAAGAATATTAGATATAAACTTTTCATATTAAGAAACCACTACTGGGATGTTTGACCATTCGACAGATCAAACAAGCCATTTTAAGACATTACTTCTGGCTCCTTAATTGTATTAATTCTGTAGATTATTATTGTAATTATTAATTGCAGATTAATAAACAAGCCCCTACAACTCCTCCCCTTCTACGTGCATTCCCCAAACATTTCCATCTACACTGCCCTCATTAGCTACTGTAGCTGAAAATGTTTGAGGAATAAACATATCATATTGGGAGAAAAGGTTTACTAATTTGATTTTCATTCACCAGTTAAGCCTATGCTCACAATAATCTGCATGTTTCTGTAGCACAAATTACATTATTCCGACTAATCAACTAAGGGATGTATCGTAGAAATTGACGGATTAATTTGTAAGAAAATGACTGTCAGTTGCTTCCCTGATTAACAAAGAGACTGGAATGTTTTTTAAGAGGGAATGTGTTTTTCAGTTTTAGCCTTTTGCTCATTAGCACATTTGAGCGAGAGATTCAGACAGTTCACACTGCATGGCAAATTGGATTGAGCAGCCAGTCCCAACCCCCATTCCCACACACACACACACACACACACACACCTAACGCTGCAACCACATATAATCACATGTATTTATACTGTATGTAACGTTAATGACATGCAAATAGGCTTGTGGACACATGTTTGGACACACAAGCTCGTGGATTGTGGATAATTGGTCAAAAGCAAGTTACTGAAAATGCACTTGTGGAAAGACGCTGTGCAATAAAGAGACACACTGACAATATGACAAGGGCGAACACACTCTATCCTTTTTCCACAGTCGACTTAACTCTCCATTTATCTACTGTCATCTGTCACATCTGTCTCCTTGTCAGTTTTATTGTCTCTCTGTGTTCACTGCCCTCAAACAGTAACATGTTATCCCTCTTTCTCTGTCTGAGCATCCCTCCACCTTCCCTCAGCCTCCCGCCTGCCGCCCCCACTTTCAGTCTCCGTCTCTCTCCCTCACTTTCTCCTCTCTAGCGTGCCCTTGCTCTCCATCTACCTTTCTCTCTCTTTCCTTTTTTTCCCCCTCCCTCTCTCCTCCTCTTTCCTCCTCCTCCCTCTCCCGCTGCGCTCTTGACTCGCTCTCATTCCCCCTCGCTCACACACTCAGGCAGCATCCTCCCCTCTCCACTTCTACCTTCACACTCACCTCTTCGCGCCTCCCTCTCTCCACTCCTCTCGCCTCCTTCCTTTCCGCCACCTACTAACACATATCATCTCTGGCATCTTCCCCCGGTCTGTTGTCTCCCACTCCTTCCACTCTCTCCTCCATCTCTTCCATTTCTCCCTCCTTGTCACACACTCAACCTTGCTGTCTCGCGTACACACACTCATGCTGATTGGCACCCAAGGACAGAGCACCCTCTCTCCAAAACCGGCGACCAGGCGGTTTGCTTGTGTGGCCAGGCTTCTTGACACTGAGCTCAGCTGAGGAAGAGGACGAGAAAGAGGCCATGGAGCACAGCCACATCTTCCCTGTTTTTTCCCCAAATGCGAGCACCTGGAGCCCGGGGCAGCATCCCTCTGAGGTTGCCCAGGGATGCCCCCTCGGACCACTGCCTGTCATCTACTACAGCATCCTGCTCTGTCTCGGCCTGCCTGGTAAGAGATGTGTGTGTTGTACGTGTGTCTAATCACATGCACATCTCATTCTGTGTTAATTTGCTCATATTTGTGATTAGAGCCTGCATTGGTCGGTTGCAGGAGTCATGCTTTGCATCTTGATTTGTTGTCCACTTGTCTGCAGGTTTGAGTGAGTGTGTGTCATGCACAGCTGCTCCAGAGTGTCACTCTTTGCACGCACGCTGTTGATTTGTCATTCTGACCTTGTGGCAATCACTTGCATGTGTACGTACTTTGTATGCATTTGTCGGTGCTCGTGGCTGCCTGCTTGGAGTTTGTTTGTACACTCATCTCTTTGGTTGGAAATATCAAGCACCCACTAAACAAAGGAGAAAAAATTGCTGTGCAGAACGTCGTTAAATCGGATTATTTAGACATGATTCTTCAAATTGCACCTTTTTTTAGCTACATATGTGTGCATGACTGATTATGTCAGTAATGTCACAAGCTTGACCTCGGGGACAAGTGTGTGTTACATGGCTCCTCTTGATGACCTGGATTAATCGTGTCTTAACCATTGACTGATTAGTCCGTTCAGTCATTGTCAGACCCATTTACTGCCTCTGCCCCACTGCGTGATCTATGAGCGCTGACCTCGTCTCACACAGGGAGGCAAAGTGGTGTGTGTGTGTGTGTGTGTGTGCATCACTGTGTGTGTGACAGAGACAGAAAACCTGTAGGTCAGATGAAAGAGGAAAGGTGCTGATGCCTAATCAGAGATTGCGGTTTAGATGTTGAAATCCCTCTGGACTGTCAGATACACATCCACTCTGCTTCAGCCCATTACCCAAATGCTGGACTCATTCTGTGGTCAAATAACATAATGGATTATTCAAGGTTTTTAGTATTCAGCCCTGATTTTAAGATAAGATCTGTTGAGAGATTTGACGTGAAATGAACCCACAGTTAAGGCTTTTAAGGAATAAAATCTGGGACTTTTGTTTTATTAGTCCTAATACATAAGATTAACATATCTTCTTAAGCTCCCTCTTCCTTTATAAAGACTGGGAGTGAGATGTTATCAACAACCTAAGCAGCTTTGGTTCAAAACAAATCTGCAATGCAAAGTGAAAAGCTTTTGTATGCCAAGGCTGCAGTTGCTCCACAGATTTGCAGTCTCAGTAAAAGTAAGTCTGTCTTTCTGATCAAATCTCGCCTAATTATTTCTCCCAGATGGCAAATCAAGTCTTGCTCAAGCAGGTCTCTCTGCTGTCTTTTAAAGTTTCTCCTGCCCGGCCCGCGGAAGTTTTATTTGATTCTGCTGCTGAGTCGTCTTTACAAATGCGATTGAGGCTGTTTGTTTAATCACTGAGTAACAATAACCTGAGAGTGTAATGCAATCTTACAATAGTTGTCTGAATTAATGGCAGACTTGAGAGCAGGGGGCTGATGCGTTGCAGCAGCCGAGTTTCGACTTATTCAATCATTATGACACAGCTCGTTCTGCTGAAGCTGAATCATGAATGTTTCATGAGTGCGGCATGTGTGAGTAGTAGCGGTGTGACCTACAGACCCACACGTATTTAACACTCTGGATGGATTGGAGGCTGTTACCTTGATTACCTGCCAGTGTGTCATTAGTTAACAGCAACAGGGCTTCACGGAAAAGTCGTCATGTCTGTATATTTCTCTCAGACTTCAACCTTTAAGCTGCAGACGGACAGAGGGGTCACATCAAGAGCACGGATTCGAGGGTGACAAGTGAGATGAAGGAAGGTGATGAGACAGGGGGATTACGCAAGTCAAGTGGCGGGAAATGATTACTGTTTGACCTGGGGAAATGATTAACTGAAAGCCCAGGATGAACATGGGGGACAATGGAGAGTATAAGGAAGGACAAGGACACCCAGAAAAAGAAGAAGAAGAAGAAGAAGAAGAAGAAGAGGCGAGCTAAGAGAGAGCAGTAATAGAAAAAGAGATTAATAACAGCAGAGCCAGTGAAGTAACACCTTTTGAGCCCTGAGTGGGGGAGCCACAGACGACAGAGCCGAGACGAATTGCCACATTTTTAATTAATCGCTAACTCGCTCTCTCTCTTCCTCTCTGCTCACTACACCACACTGCTTGAGCCAGAACAGACGTGTGCTGGCATAGCAAACAGCGCAATGAAGGATTCGTTTCTTTTGCCTCTTTGCTGGGATTACAGAAGTGAGGTCTGCTCTTTGTACAGTACAGTATGTCTTTAAAGCACTATATACTGGGTTGAGTGGTCCGGGAAGCCGATTCTGTCCGAATGTTCAAGTGAAGCTGCGTTCATGCGTTACGCTTTGAGCTGAAAATGTCTCTAATCAGAAATCAGTCAGTTCTTTATGATGGTGTTTATCCTGCCCTCAAGTCAGCCTTCAGGTCACCGTTGCTGTCTGGATTTGAAGGATCTGCAAATGTGTTAATGTTAATAAAATGTCTGAGCTCCAAGACAATACAGCAGAGCACAAAGCCACTAAGAGGATTAAGTTCTATTGTATTCTATTTAATAATTATACATTTGTACTTATTTTATTAGTCATAAGCCTTTCCTAAAAAAAAAATGTATTGTGGTGATTTACTTCATCCAGACACCTGCAACGTGTTCTCTTTAACATAATAATTTTTTTTTTTTTTTTTTACATATATTTACATTTATGTTTCTATTAAAGGACCAGTGTGTAGGATTTAGTGCCATCGAGTGATGAAGTGGCAAATTGCAACCAGTTCAATACAGCTCATCCTTCAAGCTTGTAGGAGAAACATTTTGCCAATCTTGTCTTCCAGCAGCATCATTATTTTAATGTTGGGGTGTGCACATCGAGATAAACAACTGGTGCCACCAATGCTCCAATCTGAGAGGGTCAGTCAAACCTCAAACGGTGGAAAACCATGAAGAGGTCTTGTAAAATATGGCTCCATACAGATGTTTCGTCTCTTTAGTTGAGCGGAAGATTGAGTGGCAAATAAATACGTGCTTCATGTACATCATAAATTTCATAATTTATTCGTTAAGTCCCTGTTTTTATATATATTGACTTTCCACCTCAGCCAAGAATCTTGTATTTCAGATCTTCCACTCAGAAAATGTGCTAAAATAGGTGGATGGAAACACAATAACACACTGTTATATAGCCAGAAGAGAAAGGTCAGACCTTTCAGATAAACCATGTGTACGACGTGGAAGACTGACTGTTTATGCTTTTACCAACAATTTCTTTTAACTGTGACATAAATGTGGTGTTATTATTGTAACCATACCGATGAGTAATTTTAACCCAAACCACAATATTTCTTCAGACTTTATTAAGTTGTTTTATGTTAACCAAGACGTCAGATACCTTTTTTTTTATGACAATAGGTAAATGAGGTATTCTGTCACTCAAACTGGAAGGATTTATTGAAAACAGCATGTGCTGTAAGTAATTATCACTCAAATGTCTAATGATACACTCGACTCACGATTCGATACAAGTCACAATACTGGGTTCACAATATGATTTTCTCATAATTAAAAAAAAGAAATTGAAGACAAATTATGACTGAAAAGATTTTTTTTCTCAGACAAAAATCAGCAAAATATATTTTCTGTTTTTATTTATCAAATCAAAGAATCCTTTTTTTGTTACAATCTGTGCAAAACAATACATATTTCCTTGTCTTTTGTGACATGATACAGCTACTGACGCGAGTGGGGTACGACATAAAAAATAGATAGCGCCCCCTGCTGTTTAAAAGGAGCATCATGAATCATTTTTCATCTCGCTGATTTGAATTTTCACATATTTGAACTGTGTTTTAAATGACTCGCAATATGTCTTTACATTTCTATTACTGATACCTATTTCAGTGTTTACAACCGGCAAATAAAGCTGGCCCAGGTGTCATCACATACTCTGGAACATGGACTACCTGACAACAGGTGGTTGCCTGGTGGGGGAGATGTCTGTTTCTTCATTTGTATCCTGTTTAGAAAATCTCTCTTATCCACGTGTGCAAATAAACAAGTGAGCGCTAACAGCATGTTGGTGCGTTCCTTCCCTCTTCTTTGAAGCGTCTCACAGTTTGTGTGGCTGTTCGACAGTCAGCGGTGTGACTGGCGTACATGAGAGTTGGGAAACATCTCCTTCCACTCCAACTTATCCACCCACCCCAGGGGAAAAGGTTGTGGATGTACGGCGCTGACGGCCCTCGGTTCTACGTCACAGTGTGGGCCAGGTGTCAGCCACTACTTAATGAAGAGATGTTCCCCCAACGATTTTCAGTTTGGACTATTGATCTGTCAATCTGCACCAGTGACAGGGCATCTGTGGTTGGGATGGGAGCTTGTTAATAGATAGTATCACTCTAAAAGTGAAGTTTGAGATTAGGGGGTGTAAACTGGACGAGGAGGAAAGCATGCGAGGGAGGTTTTTGTGGAAGCATGGACAGCGGGGAAAAAAGATAGTGAACACTCAGTTAATCAAATGGAAGAAGGAGGAGATTTTGAGCTCTGGTTTGTCTCCAGTCTGCAGTTTAAGAAAGGAGAGGAAGGGGTGTCAGCTTGTCATGGGGGAGATGAGCCAGAGAGGGCGCGGGAGGACAGTGGAGGCAAGAGAAGGAGGGAGGTGTTGTTTCAGGCAATAAATCAGAGATGTTGATGCAGTGACAGAGCTGACTTTGTTTGACCAGCTGACAACAAAACGCTGTCACTGCTGCAGAAAACACAAATCCCTGCATGTCATTCGGCATTATTTGGACACCAGTAATAAATCAATCCGAGAATAATTATAGGACGTTGTTTGAATCTTTTATTCCTCCTCATCTTCCGTCCATTTAAACTTCTTCCATGTTCCTCCTCCATCTCACTCTAACTACCTTTCACCTTTCAGGGTTCTTTTTTTTTTCGAAGCTGAAACCTCATAAAGAGCATCCAAGGGCACATTATGATTGTGTACAAGTCCTTTAAACGTGATAAGCTGAGTTTGTCTGTCTGCAATGCCACCGTCACTGCCAGCAGGGTTAGCTTTGGTGTAAGGACAGTCATGGCCACCAAACTTTGACTCACTGTGGCCTGTCTGTAAAATGAATGGCTGTGGAGGTGAGCAGAGGCAGAGCACTGCAGTAGCATCAATATCATTTGCAGCAACCAGGGCCTCTTTCTCTTAATATGCCCATTTAACCTAAATATCCTGTTGCAATACACATCTCTCTCTCTCTTTTTCTCGTTCTTGCTCTATTTTCTTTATTGCATCTTTCCTTTTCTTATGAGCTTCATTCCCATTAACTCTCAGATCACACATCAGGCTTATGCTCACAATAAAATGTGTTTGATATTACATTTGCATGTCGTTTTCAGTGCAAATTAGCAATAAGAAGGATTTTTACGTCACAGCAACATCAAGGGTTTTCTCTTAATTTTAAACAGAATTTGGGTTTTAAAGTAAGTAAAATCATATTTTTATCTTCAATGCATGTTTTTTTTTTGTGGCTTTGTAGCAGGGATCCTGGTTTTTGTTCTGGGGAATTAAGGAATCGCCCTGCTTTATGTCCGGTCTGACACTTAGAGAAGACAAAAGGGAAATGGTTGTCATCAGGAACAAAGTGCCTGTGACCTTTGAAGCGAGCTTTGATATCCCCCCCCTCTTTTTTTCTCTTGCTTCTTCCTTTCCTCCCACCGGCTTGCTGCTCTCCTCCATACCTCTCTCTCTCTCTCTCTCTCTCTCTCATTCTGTCTTCCAGTCTAATCCTCCCCTCTAGTCCCTCTCAATAACTTGCTCTCTATTTAACTCTCTGTGACCTTCCTCAGGCCAGGCCACACTTGCCTTCTTCCTCCAACTATGCCTCTTTTCTCTTCTCCTCTTGTGTTATTAGCCTCCAGATAAGCCGTTAAAGCCAAACCTCAATTTCCTCCGAATGACAAAGAAACTTAATTGCAATGCTCACTTTCTTTTCTTTTTTGGGGGCATAATTTCCTCTTTACAGTGTCTGCTCTGTTATATGAGGCCCATGAGAAAGTCTAATGACAAGTGTGCAGGGAGGTGGCGGCATTTCATGTTTTGCCACTGGTTTTGAGGGGTTAAACTGCGCAGTGTCGTTTGTCGACAGCCTGTCTGAACACGTCCCTTTAGTGGTGGGATGAGTCAGCCTCGTTACACACCTCAGGGACCACGCTGTGCCTTCTCTTTTCCCGCTAAACAACGTCAATGGCCCTCTTTATGTTAGAGGAGCATCAGCAGGGGGAGCGGAGACACAAAAGCACTCCCGCACAAAAAGACAGAAGGGGTCACCCATGCCAACACACGCAATTTTAGGCAGAGAGACAAACACACAGCAGCCCATTATTTGTCCTACAGGTCATTTTAATCCCCTCTCAGCTGGAGACGATTATTTTTCCCTGCAAAGAGAAAAAGGGAAAGAAGGGGGGAAATTTTGCATGTGTCTCCGCCTGAATGTCCGTGAGTCCAGGCATGACGTGCACATGTCTCTGTGTGCACACATGGATGTCCGTTCTGTGCGCGTGCATGAGTGTGCATTCCTCCAACCCGTCTGTCCCTGTCCCCGCTGAGACCTGCATGTGCCACCTCATACCCATACAGACCCATCTGGCTCCACCCCCCCCACCCCTCCGCATCCATCCCCGGCCCCTGAGACAACGTAAAGAGCAGGAGTCAATTGAAATGAATGGGCAACCGAGTGCAAGCTGGCTAGAGCTAAATGGAAATGTCAAGCTCGCCACGGATCCCTTTTGTCTGTCTGTGGAAGGCCCCGTCTCACTGGGGAGCCCAAACAGAATAATACCCAGCCAGTGACAGTCAACACTGCACTGTTTCCATTTCATGTCAATCCTCTCTGTTTAGCCGTGTGTGGAAACAGAAAGTGAGGGCGGAGGTACAATAGAGAAAGTGAAGCGGTGGATTAAAGGTGAAGTACATTGCACAGGATTTGCAATGGATCACAGTCATGATACATTTGACCAGCTCAGAGATTAGCAGCAAACTTTTACCTGGTACATAAATAACAGACACTGATAAGATCCCTTCTCTCGGATAAACCAGGTGAAAGGTGTATGTGCAGTGCACAGCTGTGACTGTATGGGAAATTAAGTGTCAGTATGACCAAACCAAAGACTAAAAGAGGCTGCTGAAACAAACAGTGTTCAAAACAAGAAACAATAAGGCAACATAAAATTATGGAGCTTGACAGATGACTCCTGAAGGAGGTTTATGGGCAATTATGCATGTAAGAAAACAGAAGAGCTTCAACTAAGAATGATTTTATTATTGATTAGTCCGCCAAAGAATTTTCTTGATTAGTAGTTTTTCTCTGATAAATGTCAGAAAATAGTGAAATATGCCTATTATACTTTCACAAAGCCCAAGATGATATCTTCAAATAGCTTGTTTTGTCTGAAGGTATTCAGTTTACTATTATATATGAGAGAGAAAAGCAGCAGATCCTCACAATTAAGAAACAAATGTTCGGAACATTTTAAGAGATCTTAAGAGATGAAAAATTACTAAAATGATTATAGCAGATAGCGATGATTAAACCACCCTAAACTCACATTATATAACATAAACAAAGAACACACTTTCCTGCAGTGGCCTTTCTAAACATGAGCAGTGGTGAAAGTTACTATATTATGTTATGATCAAGGACTTGAGACAGAGGCAGACAGCGTTAGCTAGCACACTAGCTGGTTGAAAAGCTGTCTACTTCCACTTTGCACTGAGTATAGCATCAGCATGAAACGAGTGAAAACTGATGAAGAGAACTCTGTCATAAACTTGACTTGTCTTCATTTTAGTAGCCAGCTAGCAGCTGACTAACTTACCTTGCTATTTTAAAAAAAATGGTAAATACTATTAACAAAATGTACAAAGTTAACTGTTAAAAGTGAAGTTACTAACTTAAGGTTGGAGGTGAATTGAAATGTTTCGGTAGAGTTGAATGGAAGCAAACAGACATGCGGTTCATAAAACAGATATGTGTCACACTACATTGTGCAAGTAGACGATAGAGATTGACAGCCCATTGATGTGCGTAATGTATATTCTGTCCTGATAAAGATCCAACTAGGATTGTCATTATTAAACCTTTGTGGCATGGAGTAAGTGTGCAGGCCTTACTGTTTTATTTCTTTGAACACAGGCGTTTTTCTAAGCTGGCAATCTGAAACACTCCCAAGGGCCTGTTCTCCTCCCAATACATCGTTGGAGCAGTAGTACTCCAAGAACTATAAACAGACTTTGATGTGTAAAATTAACTTTAATATTCTTACTTAATTTCTCCAAGTTAACAATGCTTGCATGGACTAATATGATATTGTTTAGCTAATGTTTCTTTTATTGCCAGAGTTTGGTGAAACCAACAATAATACTCGTCATTTTGATCAAACTATCAAACATAAAGAATATAAGTCTCATTATGACCCCACATCTAAATTTACACAGATTTTATTAATACAGGCGACAATATATACAATATATGTATCACACAAGATGAAACACTACAAAATAAGAAAAAAATTGCATTTGTTACATAAACGATCATTAAAAACCACATAATGCTTATTGTGAAGATCTGTATCCTTGAGTCCAAGGTCAACCTGAAATTGAATGTATTCTGGATTAATTTGCCATGATCGTAGACCAAACTGACAACCAGAAAAGAAGAAGAAACAGGCCGAAGACCAGTAGCTGAAACAATCAATAACTCAAGATTCATCATGAAAGCAATTTAACTTGCCTGTGCGGAGGTTAGCGTGGTGTACAAGCAGAGGTGACTGCGACGGTGGGGGTGTAGTGTAATCCAGAAGCCCTACACGTGCACACATATTGGCTTTTCGAGCCTTGTAAACTGCTTTGACATCTCATTTATTGTTATTGATAAATTGTATGTTAACGAATTGGCGCATCCCTAATGATCTGTGTGTTTGTATGTGCAGACATGTGCTAATATGTGTGCGTGTGTGTCTTCTGCTGCACATCCTCCAGTCTGGCAAGGACATCTTTAGTCATTATCTGGAGCCGGCTTTGTAATTTGTAATCAGCTGATAGTGGCTGAGGCTGTGAAGTGTGATGTACCAGACTCCAAGCTGCCATATTTAATCCAATCCCAGATCTATTACTGCGAAAGGGGACCACAGAACACACACACAGACGCTGAATGGACAGTGACGGCTGCTAAGTGCATTGATGTCTCAGTGATGCAAATCAATGTCAGAGGCATCTTCATTTGAGGAAACAGGTTGGACAGTTTCATACTGCAGCAGCAAGATTCCCTAAATGGAGATGGTTAGCAACAGTATAGGAAAGTTAGTGTGTTTATATGATGGTTAGTTTAGGTTTTTGGACTAATACAGCATGACATCAGAAACTTAATATAAGATAAATTGGAAAAGCACTGATTTTCTCTTTTAAGAAATAGAATTGTCCAAATAATGTGTAAATACTACAATACTATAAATAGTATAAATTACTTTAATGAAATCTTACAAAAAGTAAAAAAATATCCACCTAAAGACAGAATTCAGCTTTTTGATGAAATCCAGTGCCTGAACTTACTTACCAGTACTGGCGCTTCTTTTCTTGAGTATCCGCCACCTCTGGTGAACATGGCTATGCCCACAAGTGAGTTCACCAACGTCTGCACCACAGTATTTTTTCCAAAGGGGTCGTAAAATAATTAAGTAAATTTTTTGGATCTCAGTATATGTCAAACCTTGCATTCAGCAGTGCTGGTGATTTACTCCTAAATGCCTGCATAACTGTTGCATCTCCATGCAAAAACATAGCGATCTTAACACAAAGAAAACAGCACTGGAAATATCCTTGTAAAACAGGATAAAAGGTCTTAGGGTTGTGTTGTGTTTAGGCCACTGATGAAATCTATCTATCTATCTAGATCAGCAAAGGAGGAACAAAGTCTTGGGATTAATATGCATGACAAAATAATCTTAACTCAAGGTCAATTAAAGTGCAACAAATCCCCTCTCTCCCAGCAAATTTCTGTTTGAAAGTTGGTAGCAGTAATGTGTCAAAAGAAAAGATGGCAGATCACCAAAAAAGCAAGGAAGAAGAAGCAAGCAACTGTGGATGAAAACAATGTAGGTAATTCTATGAAAAATTGGCTTTGGGAACCCAGGTTTCACACAATGTGTTTTGGTGAGAAAAAGTGGAAAAAAACACCCAAAATGAACCCTGTGAAGAACATTTAACTAGCTTTTTTCTCACCTTTTAACCGCAATGTGTCTAATGGAAGTGGCTCAGGTGCCACGATGTTGCACTGGTGATAGTCTGTAGGAAGCCATTGACTGTCCTATCTTTTGTTGTAGACAGGATTATGATCTCCGACCCCCACATGATCACCTGTTTTATTACATGACTTAAGTTCCAGACTTGGTCAGAAGGTCACATGAGCACGCCTGAGCCACTTCCATTTTCAGATGTGAGAAATGAACACCTGAGATTGGCCAATTTTTTAGATAATCCAGTCGGTTTTTCGTTATTTTTATGGTCAGTATACATACTGTATATTACAATACTTCAGTACATGAAATAATTTTACAGTGATTAATTTAACTAACTTTGTTCTGTGGTCCACATTTTTACTACTGTAATCAAAGTATCTTTACTGTCTCCTCTACGTTTGGGAAAAGGTTTGAGGAGGCTCACAACCTGTAAACTCAACTGTTTAAGATTGATGGGAATAACCTGGGAACAGAATGCACATGCAGTGACGTGGGGGGGGAACAAGAAACAGAGTAGGCCGACAAAAGAAAGAAGACATGTAACGAGCTTGTTCAATTCAATTGCCGAACTGCAGTTCCACGTGAGAGGCAAAAGGCAGTGCTCCTCCTGGTGCGCAGAGGCCATCCTTTGGTATAATCAGCAGTGGGATGAATCACATCCAGCCCTTTGTGTCCACATTCTTTTTAGCAAAAAAAATGAGAGAGTGGTGGTCCTCCTCCTGGTCTGTTTAACTGCCCTGTGAAATAAAGTGAGTTGGACTAAATAAACAGAAGATGTGGAGGCAAACATTTAATTTGGCAACATGGAAGAAAAGGTATATGTTGGGTATGTGGAGTTAAGATTGAAAAAGAGAGGCAGACACGGAGAGAGGTGGGGTGTCCTTGTGCTTTGCCTTAGAAGCTAAATTGCCAGCGGCAGGCAGTAGTGAACTCAGCAGATTGCCAAGGCTGTGATGCTGCACGTTGCCTCCTGTTTTTGTTGAGGCTTTACTCTTTATTAGAGATAACAATTTGGCCAAAGGCAGAGAGAGGTGCCGCTGGAATTACACAGCAGGTCTAGATGAAGGGGGGAAAGAGAAGGGAGTAATAAACAGGGGAAGGATTACAGGGTAGGAAAGCTGGTTGAACATGATACATACTGAGTGGGAGCGATAACAGATTTGATATAACGTGGAAATAAATGTGGCAAAGATTTCACCTGGCATGCTCTTAGATCTGTTTGGCAGCTATGGTGGTGCAGAAGATTTCCCTCATTATTCACTAATCTTTGTGTTTGTATGTGTGTGTTTGTGTTGCAGCTATAGTACACTACATCTCTATTGTGTTACTGTTGTCCCTTTTCAATTGCCTGCCAACTAACACTAATTTTTTCTGTTTCCTTCCCTTACCTGCGCCCTCTCCTTTTTCCATTCTCATCATACTTTTTTCTTTTTCTCATCATTTCCCTGTTTCCTCCACCTATCTACTTTCAATCACCTTCCTCCCCTCCTTCTTCCTCCTAGCTAACATCCTGACAGTGGTCATCCTGTCCCAGCTGGTGCTGCGTCGTCAGAAGTCCTCCTACAACTATCTCCTGGCTCTGGCAGCCGCCGACATCCTGGTCCTGCTCCTCATTGTTTTTGTCGACTTCATATTGGAGGATTTTATTTTGGCCACGCCGCTGCCTCCATCGCTAAACAATGCGGTGCAGGTTCTGGAGTTCTCCTCCATCCACACCTCCATCTGGATCACCGTGCCTCTAACCATTGACCGTTACATCGCTGTTTGCCACCCGCTGCGCTACCATACAGTCTCCTACCCAGCCCGCACTCGAAGGGTGATATTTGCTGTGTACATTGGGTGCTTGCTCTCTGCAGCTCCTTATTACTGGTGGCCTGAGCTGTGGCACAGCCTGCCTGGTGTGAGCAGTAGTGGTGGTGGAGGTGGAGGAGGAGGTGGAGAGGGCAACAGGAGAACCGTGGCCCAGCATGTCCTGGTGTGGGCCCACTGCGCCACCGTCTACCTCCTCCCCTGCACCGTCTTCTTCTCCCTCAACGCCGTCATCGTTCGTAAGCTGCGCAGACGCCGTAGCTGCTTCCGTCTGCGCGGCTACTCAACCGGGAAGACCACCGCCATTCTCCTCGCCATCACCTCCATTTTCGCGGTTCTGTGGGCACCTCGTACCCTCATGATCCTCTACCACTTCTACTCCCCTCCTCCGGCCTCACAAGGTGCCGGGCGACTGCTCCACATGCTCACCGATCTGGCGAACATGCTTGCGTTGCTCAACACCGGCGTCAACTTCTTCCTCTACTGCTTCATCAGCAAGCGTTTCCGGGGCATGGCGGCCAATGTGCTGCGAGCCCTGGTCCACTGCCGGAAGCAGCCGCCGCCGTTCTACGCCAGCCACAACTTCTCCATCACAAGCAGCCCCTGGATCTCACCAGCCAACTCCCACTGCATCAAAATGTTGGTGTACCAGTATGACAAAAATGGAAAGCCCATCTGTATTTCCTCTTGAGTCCTCAGCCACCAGCAGCCGCCCCCCTCCCTCAATCGTTGGGGGACATATTTGGGCTATGTATCCTTGGTGACCAGCTTTGCCCGCATGGGACTCTTTGAGGCTTGAAAATGTCAACACGCCCTGAGAGGCACAGAGGTGACAGTTTTGCTAGCTTTGAACGATAACAATGTGGGAGGCTAGCAAGGTGGAAAAGCAAACAGCAGGTATTCACAGTATTCACAAAAGCAGCGACCAGCATCCAATAGATGTTGATTGTTTCCTCCATGCAAAAAAATAAACCTACTGTAAGTGACTGACTGCTGCTGGAGTGAGCGACTCCAGACTCAAAGACTAATAAAGGGATATCACCACCATTTGTAACAGCGCTAAAGTATAAACTGACAACTAGATGCATCCTTGGTGAGGCATCAATCGCCGGGTGGCACTGCGTTTTTTATGGACGCTTCCTGTTGCACACCACGGACACCAACGGTGAAGAGCTTTGAACAGCTGCGTCTTTGTCCGTTGGGAGTCATTTCCAGGAAGTAGATATCCAGTCAGAGTCTGGGCACTAAAGATCTCACCTCAAGGTGTTACTCACTCAGGCAGAGCCACCAACCGTGTGTGTGTCCACTGCCCATAGTTCTGACTGTCTCTCAAGCAATGTAAAACAGCGCTGTCATTTCCGGTTTAATATGCAGATGAGTCTCAAAGGCATGTTAATTTGGGCTTTTATTAAAATGAACAGCCCTCCCTGACTTTCCTTGTGTGTGCTGAGTGAGTTCACCCTAGCAGTGCAGGTCATCTACAAGTCGGCGCTCGCTATGGAAGACAAGCGTCCAAGCTCACAGATTGTCGTAGGATGAGTAGACTCTCTGCTTATTGTTGGCTAAATATGTATTAATGGTAGACTTGACTGTTATTGTAGCTTCGCAAAAATACGAGACAAAAAAAAAAAAGACTTGGGAATATGTCAGTTTGGCTCCAAGTTGTCATTAATCTAGTTATCACATTTCCAATATTAGGAAGAGGAAATTTCTGCTATTAGTAGATAGTCCTCTATTAACTATTAATGGTCCTTGATGACTTACTGTTAGCCATTATCTGGATGAATATAATGAATGTAAGTGATCATCTCTTTAACCCTTTAGCTTTCTGATGGAATGAGAAAAGAGAGAGAGAGAGATGGAGAGGACAGAACAATCTGCTCTCCTTCCCCTTCGGTTTGCTTTTCCCCATCCAAGGCTTTCTGTCCCATGATGCAGCAGTGAATTTGGTCTCAGGGCCACAGTGACACATTTCAGCTCTGCTCATTCTGCTACTGGCTGATGGCAGTTCAGTAACATTTTACACCGAAACACAGTCACGTACATCAACTCTGTCTCATAAATGTGAACGCACGCACGCACGCACGCACGCACGCACGCCCACACACACACGCACACACACGCACGCACACACACACTCCGCCGTATTGCCCACAGAAAAGAGCACATTGAGATCAATGCACATCCATTTTGCAGACACCTTGGGGCATTACCAGTGTTCATCTATCTAGAAAGAATGGAGTTGTGCCAAAGGGCAGATTTCTGCTAATACCTGCCTGGAGGGATCAGACACATCATGGCTATATTTTAATGGACAAGACTTTAAATCGGATGAATGTTAGGTGTGTCTTTCACATCTGATAAAGTCATGCCCTCCAAACTCTTGTTCGACGTTTGAGACACTTAAGGGAATGACTGCGGGTCTGCCGTTGCTTTTTTCTTTCACCATAGCCACTATGAAAGCAAAAAAAAGCAGCTGAAAAGCAGGTCAAGGTTTTTACAGTTTTGCTCATTTTTAATTTAATTTAAATTAACAACCTCTTACCAGCCTCATTGCTGAGATATGGGAATATGACAACTTGGTTGTTGAAGATTGGAGATGGAGAAGTTTAATACAACTGAACAGTTTAGGGATATTATCTTAACCCTGTTTCGAAAATCAGTAAGTGATTATTACAGGCATTTTACATATGTTCACCCTTGTTATTCTAATTCAAGACAGCAATCAATCATCAATCATATACTGTACAGTACATACAACACAGCCATCAATAGTGTATTCACCCATATGTCTATGGATGAGTTTATCCCACGTTCACATCATCAAATTGGAGTTACTATAATTACCAGTTCCAGACATCCAAGCTGTAACTATTAACTAACCAACCCTGCAGTAAATCCATGCAGAGGGCAATGTTGGTGGGGATGTAATGCTTCAGGTACACCAGTGAGACATAAAATACAATCCAAGAAGTCTGATTTCAAAAACATTTGAAGGCTTCCAAGATGCCAAAATACTGCACAGCAATTTATACTACTCACTTACAGGATAACAGAAAGTTATTACAGCGCCAACTATTTTATATTTCCTCACGGCAGTCATGAGGTAGAAATAAATTGTTCACCTCACAAATTAATCCACCAGGAAAGGAACATTTAACAAATATAGTGCTTTATTGTCAATTCACAGTATTTTTAACCCTCACATGGCCGACTCTGCAAACATATAACCGTCTTGAGTTGTCGTAAGTCAAAAACATGGAAATCTGGTATGATTTGAACACAGCAGTAGTATATGGTCGTATGGTTTTAGACCAATCAAATTAAACTGTTGTTAGAAAGACAAGTAGAGTCACGTAATGGATGTAAGTGATCCATAGTCAGAAGAAGTAATTAGCATAGAGGAGGTAAAATGTCCTTCTTACTATAAGTGTGTATAAGACTGAAAACAACAACTGTTATAAAAATAAATATAATATCTATAATAATTTAAAAACAACTAGCAATAAAAAAGCACATTTATTATTATAAAACAGCACTATGAAACTCTTGTATTAGGAACTTCTGCAGGATACGTTTTGGTCAAACCCGTACTCAGACAGCTGCAATGTAAAACGGTAAATTACTGTAAAAGATCTCAGCAATATAACTAATGAATAATTCAGAAGTGACATTTCCTTCCATGTCCGGTGTGAGCTACATTCAAATTTGAAAGTGCCATTTTCACACATTCTGACTGTTATTTAATGTGATAGTCTTTCCAATTTCTTTTCCCATCAAGGATTACTTTAACGAGAGTAAACCTAATTCCCCAACTTCCAAACTTCTTTCTCACTTTAGTTGTGCACTCTTGCACCATAACGGGCTCTTCCACTCTAAAATCCCATTTCTTTGTTCCTCCACAAATTGATTTTCTTCAAAATTGCAAAGCGAATGAGGGAGTACTGATTGCCACTTGCTCTTCACCTCCTTCACTCCTCCCACTCATCTCTCTTTCCTCCCACTTTATGTCAAATGCACTCGCTCAAAGTTAATTTCACGAGTGTCCTCTGTACTCGTTAACTGATTATCTTAAAGTCTTTTGTGTTACATGTGCCTACTGAGCATATTGCACCATCATTTCTCATCAGAAAATTGATCCATGCGGTTAGGGACCTTCAGTTGAAGCTCCTGGATGTTGAGCATTTTGTGATGGAGATAAACGGCCAGAGGGTCAATAATCAGTAATCACTCAGTGAGCTCCTTGACTCCCACTCCATTAATGTCATGCTCAGCAGGACGTTACATTTCATTTAGTGTAAAGGCACTAAAATATGTGCTTTAATCCTAATCAATACAGCCTAATGATCAGACTGGGATCATTAACAAAGTGAGCTAAAAAAAATGATTTGGGATTCAGCCCGAGGAGCTCACGCCAGATCAATGTTGCCATGACATTCCTTTCACGTGTAAACCCCATCCAGTGTTTTTCGGCCATGTTAATGTGGCATTTGTGCGAGGACCAGTGCCTCGTTCCCTTGGGGCCTCCAGGGGAAAAAGGCATGCATGCTGGGAAACCGATGAATGGGTTGAAAGAACGTCACATGCAGGTGTCGCTTAGTTTCCCACGTGAGGCTCTCAGGAGCAGGTGACAGGGGGTGTCTGTGTGTGAGGGAAGGGGAGGGTGATGCCAAGAAATCTTCCCCATTATGAGAAAAATAGAGATCTCTATTTTTTTCAGCCAGATATTGAAAAGATAACAAAACATAAATCAATCAGAGGGTAAAATTATATTTTCTCCCTCACACATCCTGCTCTGCTTCCTCTCCGTCTCTCTCTCTCTAGACTCTACATTGTGTGTGTGTGTGTGTGTGCGTGTGTGTGTGTGTGTGTGTGTGTGTGTAAGCATGAATGTGTGTACATAATGTCCGTGTTAGACAGAATGAAGCTTTAAAAAAGTGTTTGTGCTATAGGACCTGTAATGTATGAAATCAAATATGTATTTATACTCAATCATGATGAATATAATTACATACAGCACAGTATTATAATTGATATATCCATGAATGTACAACTGACGCTTCTGGCATCTTTGTTGGTATTTTTCTGATTGTGATTTTCTACACAATGACCTTTTTTGAGCAGTCTTTTACCTTTCTCCATGGCAGTGTTTCAAAACTGTGTTTTTTGATTGTACTGGAGTGATTATAGGCTTGCATAATTCAGTTTTCTCCTCCTAATGAATGTATTGACTGTATAAAGGGTATGTATTACTGTGCTGTGAGAAAGTATGCAGAAACGTATTGGCTGATATTGATATTTTTGATTAAAGAAATAAAGAACAGTATCTCTAAGGATTCAGATATAGTGCTGCTGATGGTCTGTCTCTTTTCTCTGCATAAGATCACACTTAAAGAAAGATGAAAAGACATCACTTTCAATACTAATCAACCACAGACACAAACACATTTAAAGGAAATAAAGGCGGGTAAACTTCAGCGACTCATATATAGAAGTGTTTTTTATATTTTGGACATATGTAGGTGTAGTACTTCACTTCAATGTTCTTCCTCACTGAAAGACCTGGTGGTTCTGCACTAATGAGTGCATGAGAGGGGTTTTATTTCAGAAAGTAGCATCACTACCATCACAACCTTAATTTAGAAATATTGTCCATTATTATCATCATTAGATTTTTGCTTTCTGACTAGTTATAAACCCAAATAACAATGTCATGATGAACCCTTTATAAAATGTATATAATTTATTTTGATTTCTAAGACATTTAATGAAAAACTATGTGTAATTTTATACCAGTTAAGAATAAGATAATGATAACAATAATAATGCTTATAGTGCTTCACAGCAGCAAAATAAAACAGAATACAATACAACAACAATAAAATAAAAGCATTTAAAAGAACACAGAAGTAGACATAGACAGTAAAATGCACATTTTAAATGGCACATTTTTAAAAGAGGATAAAGATGTGGATAGATGGTACTCAGAGTCTGTTAACCTGAACATACAGAAATGATCCTCAGCAAATTGTTACTTGGGTTTAAAATGAGCTAGGTTTTCCTATTTTCCGCCTAATTATGGCCAAATTACGACTACCAAGGAAATGATTAGAAAATGACTGACCAGTAAAACGTGTTTCCATTTTTTTCAGTTTTGAATGAAATCCTTTATATCAATTATAGTAATATAATAACAATACAACCCATTTTGCACAAACTGTAACAGAAAAGATAAACTAAATATATAACCTACAGTATAAAAACGTATTATTTGGATATAAAATGATACACACACTACTACTCCTTCTATTGAGTTTTCCAGCAGAAAGATGAATGTCGATAGAGGATCATTGACTTCATCCCAAACACACCGCAGAGCTCCTCTACCAGTGCAGGCTACGTCCACCAGTGTGCTGCTGTGTGGTCACAGTGTGTGGGTGTTTAAGTGTGATAACAGTTTCTTATAATTTAGGCCGATACACTGCACAGTGCAGTGAAAAAAAGAGATTTGTTGTTCCACAGCACCAGCTCAACTGTAACAATCCAGGTGATAATCAAAAGGAGGGATTCAGCTGTGTGTGTGTGTGTGTGTGTGTGTGTGTGTGTGTGTGTGTGTGTGTGTGTGTGTGTGTGTGTGTGTGTGTGTGTATGTCCAATTAAAGTCTTGACAGCAGCGCTGACTCAGCTGACATTTTGTCCCTGTCGGTGTCAGGATAGGTGAGAAACGGAGCATAGGGCGCATGAGAACAAACACTCACACACACATATTTTATTTGCCATTAATCACCTCTGATTGAAGTTAAAGCAACACACGTGTGTCAGCTTTCAAATTCCCCCTGGTTACATCCACAGGCACAGGCAGCCAATCACCATCTTGCTCATATCCACAGTCTGCCAATCGTCAACACACAGAGCTCACAACAAGCCAATTAACACCTCTGTCACACACACACACACACACAAAAAAAACCTCACTCCTGCCAAATACAGCTCACTGTTAACTGACATTTTCCTGCATAAACAATCAAGTCACCGGGATCCGAACAAAAGGATCACTGTGTCTGTTTCAGTGAGACAACCTGCAACTGGCTCCTTTCAATAAATCACCCCCTCGTATGAGCTGAGGTCACTGTACTCTTCAGCCATACTGTACTGTAAAGTAGGTCCATCTGATAAATGTGCTGTCAGCTCCGAAACGTTTCTCACGTGAAGCTTATGCAACAGATGAGGGGAGTCACGGGGAGAGAAGAGGAGAAAATGCGAGAAAGAAGAGAGAAAGATGGAAAGACAGGAAGAAAGAAACATAGGGAGTGTGTGTGTGTGTGTGTGTGTGTGTGTGTGTGTGTGTGTGTGTCTTTGTGTGTGTCTCCGTGTGTGCTTGCTGCCAAGTCTTACGAGTGTGTTGCTGCAGTGATAAAGATGGATGAGCCTGTCTGCTGCTGCTGTGATTGGGGCTGCTGGTGATTCTGTGTGTGTGCACATGCAAAGATGTCTTTATTTAGTTAGTTAGACCTCAGGCTGGTGCGTGAATTTTGGTGACAAATAAAAACAGAAATTAAAACATTATATCCTCTGAGCATCACTGCAAGAAAAGGAAATTTCTAAATGTATGTCAAAGCTATTTATTTTATATGTCTGTCAATAAGCAAAGCTGGGACTATAAATCATGCAATGTAGGGACAAGAGTTTGCAGATTTTTACTCCAACTAGACACTACAACTGTTCTTTTGTGTGGTCATTTCTATTTCAAAATCACAGAGCAGCTTATTCACTACAGATAACATTGATTATCTGTTTCCACTGACATTCAATCAGTGACGACAGACTGAGAAAAGAAATCACATCCTGTCACCCTCTATTTTCTCTCACTCATGTTTCAGTATCATATTCATATGATAGTGTGAAATATTGCAAAGGCATAAAATATAAATTGTCTTCTAATTCCAGGCTGCAGGGCTCTTAATTAGGGGTTGTCACATTTTAAAGAATAAAATGAATGATGGCTGAATTCCCTTTGGCTGCTTCAGTTTCAGGATCCTAGTATTGTGCATGCTGCATCACTGTCACACACCGCAACACTACAATACAATACAGCAGAGCCTTTGTTTTGGGGGTTTTTAAAAGATACTTTTGGGCTTTTTAATCCCTTTTTGTGATAGGACAGGTGAAGATAGACAGGAAAGGGGAGATAGAGAGAGAGAGAGAGCGCGAGAGAGAGAGAGAGAGAGAGAGAGAGAGGAGGGATGACATGCAGAAAAGGGACGCAGGTTGGAAACAAACCTGAGCAGCTGCAGTAAGGACTTTACCAGGCGCACCCCAGAACAGAGCCACTGTTAATGTTATCAGTAACACATGTGCGTTTCCTGCTATGGCAAGTAGAAATGTCTGCTGTGGAAAAAGGCCTATTAAGAGAGATTACTTTTTAAGTGAAATATATCTTCTCTAAACGTGGGATATTATTAAGTCGTCTAGCCACATTTTAGAGGTGGGGAAGGTAGTTTTTTTTTTTTTTTTTTTTTTTTTTTGCTCTGATGAGTGAATAATGAGTTCCTGAGCCGTAGTGATATTAGCTGAGGATGATTAAGAAAGGATTTGGTTTTAGATTAGATTTGTGGGCATTTCTGTCCGAGTAAGAGCTTCTTATGTTGACAGAAAACTGTGTGTGTGTATGTGTGTGTGTAAGATATGGGATACAAATCATTTAGGAGCCAGGCCTCTAATTCCTCCCAAAAGAAATCCTTTAGACTTTGAATGAGATCAGAGCGATCGATGGTATCACAAGCAGCACTGGGATCAAGGAGAACCAGATTGGAGTGCTGCCCAGCGGCACCAGCTGTAAAGATGTCATTTCAGACTTTTGGCAAAAAATGTCTCCGTGCTTTGCTTCAAAAGAGAGATACAGCTGAGGCTTGACCTTTCCCCTCATGAAGCTGCAAACCTGACCTATAACAACTTCCAGAGCTGGGTCAGGGTGATAAGAAGTGCTAGCAACCTGAGTCATTGTTTTTAATGTTTACAATGTCCTTAATGGAGCTTTAAAGGACCAGTGTGTAGGATTTAGTGGCATCTAGCAATGTAGTTACAACTCCCTCGTTTCACCCTTGCGATGGTGATTCAACATGGCGGACATTCTAAGGTAACAAACACAAAACATATTATATATAATAATATTATATAACATAACACATTCCTATATTCAGGGGATTTTACACTAATGGAAACATCTTTAAATATTCTACTTCTGCCCATAGATCCTCCGAAATGTTACACACTGGACCTTTAACAAGAACAAGAACTTTTTACAACTGAGCAGAAGGCGGTGGGATTTCTGAGAAAATTCATGGATTCAAATAAAGTTCCAGGATTATGATGATCATCATTTATAAATTTAATAATTTTCCTCTTGCAGATCCTTCAGTTCTGGATGAAACACTTTTATGTTTGTGCTTTTCCACGTGAGCTTGGCACTGTCTATTCACTGCATTACTATGTCCACTTAACCTTGAGGAGGGAAAAGGCTTTTTTATGTGTTTAAATCACAAATTGTTAATGTAGAATCAGGCATATTTACAAGGGGGTGGACTCGGTAATCGTAACAATGCAACAGTGTTCCTGCAACAACTAGTACTGTGCAAATGATAATGTTCACCTTTGTGCTGTGAAGAGCTTGTGGTGCTGTTGTACTGGGCTGCATTATTATAAAACAAAGGTGTTCCAGCACATTGGTGTTCCTGATATTTTCTTCACAAAAGGCTGATTTCATTGCAGAGCTGTTATTGTGTCTGCCCGGTATCTGTCTGTGATGTGGGTGTCTGTGTCTATGACTGCTCCAGGCTCTCTCTAAAATACTCAACTCATCTTCTTTACTGAGCAATAACTGCTATCATCTTTTGTGTCGACAGACCAAGTGTTTGAGATTGGAGAAAAAGAAAAAAAAAAATCTGAATAAAATAAAACTGAAAAAGGGAGGAGAGACAACAGCACTTTGTCTTGTGACTCGAGCGATGGGGTTCAAGTTCTCCGCACAGAAAAGCACAGAAATATTACCGACAATTGATGTTCTCACCATGCAACAGATCATTTACTGATATATCTGCGAAATTACAGTCACAAGTGTGTCACACCTGAGCCTGTTTCTGACTGACACTGCAGCTGCTGGAAAATTACACCTTCAGAGTGACAAAATTATATTCTGGGGTGATGAAGCTTCAAAGCAGGTTCTTAAACTGCGGGTTTGTGTTCAGGGGCACTGTGGGTTATCGTGACACAGGCACATTGTTCAGTATTGCTGCAGGAAATAAAATGCAAAATGCTTTTTTAAATATCTTAAACCGCTGTGCTGTGCA